ACTGTAACTGTCATAATTGTAAAGGTAGAAGTTTTGTAACAAAAACAGGGGAGTGGTTACTCTTACAGTCCAGAAACAGAGGACCCTAGGACCATCAAGGGAGAAAAGCACAAGCAGAATGCAGGACCTTATCCAGAGAAGCAGCAGCACCAGAGATGGAGCCAGAGATGGGGTCATGGAGAGGGGGAATGGCTGAGGACTCTAGATTCATGGGAAGAGAGGGACTAAGAGCTCGTGGCCATGAGGCAGACTTGCAGAATGTGCCCTTTGGAGATGTAAATTATTATACATGCATGAGTGTTTTTTTTTTGTATGTGTTTCTTCACAGCTAAAGTGGATCTAGAGAAATACTGTTAACTGATGGTACATGGAGGGGATTATAGTCATTGTAATGAAACAAAGTGTATGATGTATTGAATGTAAAACTGATGATTTGCCTTATGAACTTTCACTCAATCCACAATAAAAAACTTAAAAAAAAAAAAAGCAAAAAAAAAGCTCAACTTTAGAGGATTCTTAGCTCTCCCTGGAGCTGCAGCTTTGCTTGTACCCTATTTTGTTGTTGTTGTTAAGTGCCGTCAAGTCGGTTCCGACCCACAGCAACCATGTATAGGGTTTCTGAGGAGCAACTGGTGAGCTTGAACTGCTGTCCTTCTGGTTCAAATGACTTGCAGGCCGACACATTAACCCAAAGCGCCACATCAGGACTCTGTTTGGTGGTGGTGGTTATGTGCTGTGTAGTAGGTTCTGACACATAGTGACCCTGTACAGAGTTTCTGAGGCTGCAAATCTTTACGGGAGCAGAAAGCCTCATCTTTCTCCTGCAGAACAGCTATTAGTTTTAAACTGCTGACCTTGAGGTTTGCAGCTCGATTTGTAACCACTACACTACCGAAGTTCCTTAAGTTGTTTAGAAAGCTCTAAATACTAAAGCATTTGCTTTGGTTGTATGCCCACTTCCTATTCTTAGTGGATGTTGTGGTGTGCTGCCAAGATCCCTTATGACGGAGACACTCATTCCTCCTCCTCCTGGGAATACAGCAGCTGTAATGGCCAAGTCCAGGAATTGACATTCACCGATGGAGTTGTCTTGGTCAAGTCTATATGCTTTCCCAGAGCAGCCTGTATTAACTAACTGGTTGGTATGGGAATGAAATCCTATTATCATCCAAATCCAGCTGTCATTGAATAGATTCCAACTCACGGTGATCCAGTTATGTGAGAGCAGAACTGTGCTCTATAGGTTTCTATGGCTGTGATCTTTCAGGGGCGTATCACCAGGCCTTTCTTCTGAGGTACCTCCACCACCACCCCCCACTGCTATGGAGTCAATTCTGACTCAGTGACAGGACAGAATAGAACTGCTCTGTAGAGGTTCCGAGATGAAATCTTTAAGGGTGCACACAGTCTCATCTTTCTTGTGTGGATCAACTGGTGGGTTTGAACTGCTCAATGCTCATCCCACGCACCACCAGGGCTCCTTAAGGCACCTCCAAGTGGGTTCAAACCACCAACTTTTTGGTGACTAGCTTAGCACTTTACTGTCTGTGATACCTAGGGACTCCTCATTATCAACAACAATATGCTAAGAAAAGAGCAAGAAGTGGCAAGTGTACAGCGGACCTCGTCAAGACACATGCACTTTAGAAGGTGGGAAGCTCACCCTATGAAGATTCGGGGGCCTTCACTTCTGTGAAGTTTTAGGGGTCCTATGGTGTGGGGCAAGGTCAGTGGTTCAACCCACCAGTTACTTCTCAGAAACCCTATACGCTGTGAATTGGAACCAACTTGATGCCACTTAACAACAATAACAACATGCTGTGGGACATGCTGGGACATACCCTCCAGAGTAACGAACAAATTATCTTGCACCTGCCACCACTAAGAAGGAAATACCACACTTTCAGGCCCTTTTGGCCCTAACATACTTATTTTACATTTAGGAAAACTGCTCCAACACGTTTGTCAAGTAACTGGGAAGGCTGCCAGCTCTGAATGGGGCCCAGAGAGAAAGGAGAGCCAGTAGCAGGTGTGGGATGTGATACAGGCAGCGTAGGCTACATATATTTCATGAGTGGTTGATAAGGTTATGAACGCCCAGCATTATCTATCGACAACCAAATATGCAGAACGTGAAGACTCAGCAGTTCTTGAAATTTTTGTGGTGGGAAAAGATACTGGGTAGTGTTAATGGCAAGGTCCCTGGGTTTGCACTTGACTACTAACTTAAAGGAGCTCTGGTATGATGCTGTAGGATCAGCACTGGACTGCTAACTGCAAGGTTGGTGGTCCACACCTACTAGCTGCTCCTCGGAAACCCTATATCGGGTCGCTATGAGTGGGTACCAGCTCGATGGCACTTAACAACAACTGACCTGCAGGTTGGTAGTTCACACCCACCCAGTAATACCACAGAAGAAAAGCTTCGTGATTTGTTTCTGTGAAGATTATAGCCAAGGAAACCTTGTAGAACAGTTCTGCTCTGCCATGGGTCAGAACTGGCTTGATGGCAAGGAGTTTATTGTTGTTTTCAGTTCATGGCAATTCCCAGGAGGAGAAACACAGTGTAGCTGCTAGAGTTCCTGGGCTAGCCCATCTGCAGTAGAGATTTATACCCTATTTGAAACATAGCTCCTGGTAGTGTTCAGGGACTTGGTAGATGCGACATGTCTGACTATGGATGCCAGGTGACCATGCTGCCAGAAGGGCCCGTGGCGAGGTCTGTTAGGATCCACTGAGTCCTAAGAGCATGTCAGAAGGCATGTCAGCAGCAAAGGCAGGTGGCTCAGACTCCCATGCCACCCACGGGTGCGCCAGTGCCTCTCCCTCTGTTCGCACCTATGATCACCTTGTGTGGGGTCCTTACTGCTGGCTGAAGATGGAGGAAAAGGTCAAACTTGGTTCACAGGGAGGCTGGTATAGTATGTGGACACAAACCAAAAATAGCCTGAAAGTGCACAATACTCCTGACCTAAGGTGGCCCTGGAAGGATGTGGTACAGGGAAAGCCTTCCAAAGGGCAGAGCTATGGTACGTCACCCAAATTTCTCTCCAGGAATGAGGCACTCACTCTGAATGCTACTGGGAGTATTGGCAGCTGATGTCTCATAGCTGGGTCTCTCTCCAAGAATCTCCCTTGGCTGAAGGAAGCTGCCACATGCTAGGATATGCCACTTTCCTGGCAGCATAAGACTCAAAGTTCCAGCTCACTTGCCTCGTCTGGGGAAATCTCTGGAGGGTCATTCCAGCTTCAGAACCCCCATGGGATTGACTTCCCTTACTCTCTTACAGATTCATCCCAAGTAGTACTCCTATATAGGTATTTATCCTCCCTGTCCCACCCCATTAAGCCTTTTGAGTACAAATCTCCAGTTTACAGTCCTAGGGAATCACGCTGAAGACGAGTCCATTTTGGGTATGTTGTTGTGGTTAAGTACTATCAAGTCAGTTCTGACACACAGTGACCCTGTATAGTGTTCCCACGGTTTTAAACCTTCATGAGAGCAGAAAGTCTCATCTTTCTCCAGCAGAGTGGCTGATAAGCTGGAATCTCAGACCTTGTGGTTCACAGTCCAGTGCTTATTGTGTGGAGCCAAAACACTCCCATTTTGGGTCTAGACTTGGCATATTTTCATTTTCAAGTGTGTAATCAGAATTTCATTTCTTATAGGTCTCTTCAGACATACAGCTATGTGCAGTCTTTCTTTTTTCTAAATTTTGTTAAAATTGTAAAATATGTATACCTGTTCTTACTTACCAACTGTCTCATTATCTGACGTTTCATATTTATGACAACAGCCAAAAAATCTGCTATCCAATTATTTCTGCATTGATGATGTAAGTCTGGCAGTAACAAATGCCAAGGTATGAGGTTCGATCAATGCTGGTTGTGATGTTTAAAGTTGAATCAACTTGGATGGGCAAGTGGTTTGGCAGTTATGTAATGACTTAATTTGGTAGGTACATAATGATGTGGTCACCTTCAATTTTTGCATAATGCTAATCTTCAAATCACAACCTGGTCTTTGGAAGCTAACCATGATGTTAAGTAAGGAGTTGGTGTTGTTGTCAAGTGCTGTTGAGTCGATTCCGACCCATAGCGACCCTGTATAGGGTTTCCAAGGAGCAGCTGGTAAGCTCGAACCTCCGGCCTTGCAGTTCAAATGGCTTTGTAGTCTGGCACATTAACCTACAGTGCCACGCCAGGACTCCAAGTAAGGAGTTGTTGTTGTTGTTGTAATGTGCCATCGAGTCGGTTCCGACCCATAGCGACCCTGTATAGGGTTTCCGAGGGTGTAAATCTTTACGGGAGTAGAAAGCCTCATCTTTCTCCCGCGGAGCGGCTGGTAGTTTCAAACCGCTGACCTTAAGGTTTGCAGCCTGATTCGTAACTACTACGCTAAGGAGTAGGTTTATAAAAAAAAAATTGGCCATTTTCATTATTTTAAAGTGTACAATTTAGGGATATTAATACATTTCCAATGTTGTGTAACCATCACCACTATTTCCCAAATTTTTTATCACCCTTTCTAAACTTTTTGAAAGTAGTTCTCCTAAAGTCTAGGATACACATTTAATGGCTTCAGACTTTTAAGATATTCAAAATGGAAACTTCCTCTTCCCACCCCCTCTCTCTGGTTCATTAACTGGCAGTTATCCTACAATTTTTTTCTATCTCATCTTTTCCACCTTAGCTTTGCTCTTTCCTTCCTGTCCCAGAACCACCATCTTTGTTCCCTGAGGACCTGAGGTTTTGGGCAATAAAGGCTGGAGGAAGACTGATGTCCAGGTTGGAGGAAGGCTGCTGGACCAAACCTCTGTCTCATTCCCTAGGACTAATCCTTGATCACGAGCTTCCCTGAAATAAGCACATTATCTAGGAGAATGGTCAAGGGTCACAGTGCATAATACATGTTAGTCTCCAGGGAAACAGCTTTGACTGAAAAAGAAAACTCTTTGCCATAGGGTTTTCTAATCTATATCCGGCTACGCCTTGCCTACCTCTTTCAGGTGCTGTGGAAGAGAATTGCCAGGGACGAAGATGTACTTTATCTTCTTGTAAATGTACCACATCAAGACGAAGCAGCTGAGGAGCATGAGGAAGGCCAAGAAAACGGAGCCTATGAGGCCAATGGCAATAATCCAGGAGGAGACTGTTTCTGTTGGAGACAACAGGGTGGGTTAACCATGTGTGTCACATTCTGGTTATGTACATATTCAGCTGCAATGACTGTAACATTGTTTTAACCAACACAATCCAATGGCGACCACTGGATTGCTCAGATACAGATCTCGGAAAGTGTTCAAGAGTAAAGCTAGTTCAAGGATGCAGAGAGAGCGGTGTCCAAAATGTTCCGCCCTTTTCTTCTGGAATTATTGCTGACATATATGAACAGAACAATAAGAACTCTGACCCACTTTACTTAATTGCAGTGTAGCCACAAGTCTCACTGTTATAGATAAACCTCTTCTGCCTGGAAGTAGGAATTCCCTGGGCCCACAACACTAAACATATGTATTACTGTATTTTCTATCCAGGATGATGTCCCTGGTCTCCTTATGGCCCTAGCTCCTTTCATTTAGCACCAAACTTTCTTTTTACTTCTCTATAATCCCCCTTAATCCAAACCATGTACAGATTCTGTTGTACATGGACCAAGAGGAAGTTGTTCAAACAGAGCACGGGAACACTGAATGGTTTAAAATTAAGAAAGGTGGCTGACAGGGTTGTATTTTTCACCATACTTATTCAAAATGTATACTGAGCAAATAATCCGAGAAGCTGTGTTAATATGAAGAAAAACATGGCATCAGGATTGGAGGAAGACTCATTAACAACCTGTGATATGCAAATGATACAATTTTGCTTGTTGTAAGTGGAGAGGACTTAAAATATTTACTGATGAAGATTAAAGAGCACAGCGTTCGGTATGGATTACTTCTCAATGTAAATAAAACAAAAATCCTCACCACTGGACTAATAAACAACATTCTTATCAAGGGAGAAAAGATTGAAGTTGTCAAGGACTTCATTCTTCTTGGATCAACTATCAACACTCATGGAAGCAACAGTCAAGAAATCAGATGACATATTGCATTAGGCACATCTGCTGCACAAGACCGTTTAAAGTTGAAGAACAAAGATGTCAGCTTGAAGACTAAGGTGCGCCTGACCTAAGCCATGGCATTTTCAATAACCTCATATGCATGTGAAAGCTGGACTGTGAATAAGGAACACCATAGAAAAAATGATGCTTTTGAGTTATGGTGTTGGAGGAGAATATTGAAAGTGCCATGGGCTGCCAAAAGAACCAACAGCTCTGTGTTAGAAGAAGTGCAGCCAGAGTGCTCCTTAGAGGCCAGGATGGCCAAACTTCATCTCTCATACTTTGGACATACTATCAGAAGTGACCAGTCACTGGAGAAGGATATCATGTTTGGTACGGTGGAGGATCAGAGAAAAAAGGAAGACCCCCAATGAGATGGATTGGTCAAGTGGCAGCATCAATGGGCTCAAGTGTAGCAACAATAGTGAGGTTGGCCCAGGATTGGACAGTGTTTCGTTCTGCTGTGCATAAAGTCGCTATGAACTGGTACTGACTCGATGGCACCTAACAACAACAACAACAATCCAAACCATGCCATTAGCCTCACAAAGCATTTGGCACTGAGAGAGGCCAAGAGAAGAAACTCTGCCTTTTAACAAGTATCTCTCTCCTTTTAAAATTGTGATAAAATATGAGGGGATTTCAAAAAGGTTGTGGAAGAATTCCATTATCTTTTTTTTTTTTTTGAGACCTTTTATTGTGAATTGGGTGAAAGTTTAAAGACAAAAATAACACTTTTACATTCAACAAATCACACATTTTGTGTCACCTCAAGGATTGCAATCCCACCTGTTACAACAGCAATCCCACTTCCTCCCTGTGGTTCTTATTTCTTTTCCACCTCCTTCCCATCTCTTCTCAACTTAGTCCTTAGGTAAATGTTGCCCTTTTGATCTTGAGTGGTTGACCATTCCATGGTAAAAATATCTTACTAGTGTTGTTGTCCCCCATGTACTTATCTACTGCTTGGCTGAAAAATGGGTCACGATAGTGAATTCCATTCCAGATCTGAAGTATGGTTCAGGGTCACTGTCTTGGGCTCCTTCATTCTCTTTCTGACCAGTGAACTGGGTATTTTTTCATAAATTTGAGTTTTGTTCCACATTTCCTCCCACTTTACATGGGCCTATGGTCCTGAGCTCCAGGCCCAGCAACACATTGCCTTAAGATGTCTGATGATATATAAGAAGTTTCCATAATTTTGTCCGCTGTATGATCCACCACATTCATAGTTGTGCTTTTAGGAAAGGTATATACATACACATGTACCAATAATCTCTTTAAAACTTTTATGAATTTCTTCCCATACCCATTCTGTCCAGATATTTCTGTCCATGTATCTGCCCGCAGAACATCATTATTCCAAGGTTGTATCTATCTATCTATCTATCTATCTATCTATCTATCTATCTATCTATCTATCTATC